AGTACCCTGTCCATTCCTGACCCTAGATCGCTAGTCATTCGGCGCTCGCCAGCCGCTATAGAGAACCAAGGAGGCTGTGGGCTGTGGGCTGGGGGGTTCGATGCGGCTCAAAAGAGAGGAAGATTTCCGACCTTTCTGCCAATGACAATCCTCCAACACCACCCCAATAGTCCTATAGCGGTGTATGGCTGCATAGTCGCCAGCAGAGCTGTGACTGATGGTGGGCACAGAATGTTCAAGCCTCTGCAGCTATTCGTGTCTACTATTAATAGGTAGCGTATTTCCGCTCTGCGGATGCTGTTGACAATCGCGTTTCTTTTCTCCAGCTGCTCCACGGCGAGATCGCGACCTTTTTTCATGTTCACCGCGCATCCTAACCCCTATTTCCATCCCTGGAAGAACGACTGGGACGCAAAACAATTCAGGATCCTTCATATGAATGAAATCCTATCACGACCCGTACTTCCCATCGTTCCTGGATCTTCCTCAAGTTGATGATGGCGACATGATGCATCCTATGGGCCTAGACATGGCAGTTCATTCTCCATTCACGGACCAACTTCCCCATGATACGGAGGCCACTTCCCGTCCGGTCGCAACAGAGAGGACTACCCAGCTACAATTCCAACTCTTGATGATGGAGAAATCCGCTAGAGGTTACCCGTACCCTTTCTTGGACGCGGACCATGGAACTACGTACCATGCTGGAGGCATATCAGGAACGGAATTGGATGTCTACCCCCAGGCGCTTCTCAAGGAAAGATATTCATCTCCCAGCGGCCCTTACGGTGGTGATTTGTCGTCAAACACGGAAAGTGATCGCTCCCCTAGTCCGCGATTAGCATGGCGTACATTTGAATGTCTGCCATACAGCGGTGGACACCCCTACCATTGGCCGATGGGGTACGGCCACGACGAGAGTTCAGTGGCTCTAAAAGAAGTTCAACATTATCCAGGTGAGCTGATAAAAAAACGCATGTCGGATACAATAACTTTAAGAAAAAAAAATAGATGATAGCATATGATCAGGTAGATCTTAATGCTGACGAGACAGACGTTATACCCGAGTTTGAGGTCGAACCTGAGACACTCGGACAAAAAGCGGTTGCACACATATATCAGCCTTCGCTTTCGTACCACAACGAAGCCGAAGGAACCGCAGACCCTGACATGGACGCCGATGCGCAGGCTGACGAGGCCCCCTTCGACGAGACGGCGGATAGCGATCCCACATATGCGAGCACTGCGATGCAACCGAAAAGTTCGACATCGCTCTCACGTCGAAAACAAGCGATGAGCAACACTCCGAACCGTGTCCGCAAGCGCGGTCTTCGACGGAATACACCTAGCAAAACCAGCCCCAAGTCCGGGTCCAAGGACGGAGGCGCCAGTCGAAAGTTTGTTTGCAGTTTCCATCACTATGGATGCCCCAGCACCTTTGCATCCAAAAACGAGTGGAAACGTCATGTCACGTCGCAACATTTGCAGCTAGGATTTTACCGGTGTGACATTGAGCCGTGCAAGATTTCGCAGCCAGATGGAAACCGCCAGCCCAATGACTTCAACCGCAAAGATCTCTTCACTCAGCATCTGCGACGGATGCATTCCCCGTGGCCGGCGAGATACGAACCGAAGCCACAGGAAACTAGCGAGTTCGAAAACAGTCTTGAAGAGATCAGGCAGCGATGTTGGCAAACACAGCGGCAGCCGCCCCCTAGAAGCCGATGTGGGTTCTGCGGGCGGATTTTCGCGAGCTGGGAAGAGCGGATGGAGCATGTTGGGAAACACTATGAGCAGCGAGACGTACAGCCGGAGGCAGAAGACCCGGATCTGCGAGAGTGGGCGATCCAGGAGGGGATCATCTGCCCGGACGGAGCGAAGGGGCTGATCTTGTCAAGTATGGTCAGGGTGGACCGACGTGATGGCTGATACCACGACTTTTACATATTTGACGTTCCTTTGCATTTTGATTCCTCTCTCTTTCTTTAAAGTCTGTTCGAGTACCTCGCTTTCTTTTTTTTTTTCAACCAGAGAAAGATGAAACGACATTGATGGGACATGACGGACATGATGAAAGGCTATCTGTATGATATAGGAGTTAATGCTGCTGTCATTTGTCACTCGCATGGTTTGTTTGCAGGCCGTTATCACGGATGGTGGATTCTGGTTCTGATCAGATGGCTGGCAAGAGATCTTGGTCAAAATGGATATAATACAGGACGGATGGGATGAACTGGTTCAATGGGTTTGTTCTATGTACGGAAATCGAATGGAGGACGTTAAAGGTAGGGTTATTTTCTTGCCATGAAATATCGAATGATATGTAGATTGCCGTTTTGACCTCGATCTGACTTGGAATCAAAGGAGTGAAATATCTCCATTCATTCATATCCCCTCCTTAGCAACGAGGGGGGCAGTAGTATGTCATAGGTAGTAGCCTGAAGAGTGCTTCGGCGAGCTCTATCTCTGTTCGGATCCCGGAGACGGACAACCTTGGAGCCTGCTTGACCTGCTTGTATAGTTGACAATTATTGCTTGCTATTGTTCTATTGCCGTGGTAGTTCAGGCTGATTGGACGAAATTCAATTAGGCAGCAATCGTAGATGGTAGGTAATTGTTTAGCTGTCTAGATCTGGTTTCCAACGTCTATTGTAGCCTTATGGAGGAGCAAAGGTGGGAGATTTCTGTTCGTCCGGTTTCGTCCGGCGGGCCAAATAATGCACGCCTTATGCCGGCCACGGGTCTTCCTTGCTCCGACATCCGATTTACCACGGGTGGATCCGACTCCGACTCGGAAACGCTAGCCACATCGGGGCAAACGTGGCCGGGCCACTAGCCCGAAACAGACAAGGCAAGGCACGGCCAGTCCGGCGGGGCGGACTCCGTGCTGCTGCCTGCTGTAGTCAAGAATTGCCAGATCACCGGCGTCGTCTTCTCGATCCGGTCCGTCTTCGTGTCCCTCTTCGTAAACTTCCAGGCGTCCCTTCAGGCTCCCGAGTGACTCATCTTTGCTCACGATGATGGTCACGCGTGATGGCTGAGTCACTGACGAGGTACAGTTTGCTAGCAGCGTCACAAATTGTACAGTCCATGGATATCTCCGTATTTGGAGGACTCTGCACGGAGTACTCTGTACCCAATCAGAGGATTCTGATTGGCTGCAGCAGATCTGACGCAGATTTGGACCGAATGGCGGCAGACCCGCCGACGAACATTATTAGAAGCGAACGTGCAGTGGCTCCTCGCTTATGCCATGGCAATTCCCGGCGCTGCCACTGGCTGGGCCTCCCTAAAGATCCCGCCCGGACGAATTCATCCGCTCAGCCCCCCCGGTGATTCTCGACTTTTCTACCGACGCTTCTTTATATACAGGCAGGCAGCGGTTTTAAATTGATGTGAGGAGACAGGCGTCTCATTTATCTCGTGTCGTACGGTCCGCGACAAGGTGTGGCAAGCGGGCAAAAACACCCACTTCCTCCGTACGCATACTCCTCTTCTATTCACTTCCCCAGAGTCCCGCCATGGTCACGTTGGATGGTTCGACAGAGGTCTCCTCTGTCGACTCCACCAGCATCGAGAAGAAACCTCCGGCTGATCCGGCCATGCCGGTCGCCCAGTCCGACTCGATTGCGGAGAAAGAACTCGCGCACCACCCCCCGACTGAAACAAAAGAGACCAGTCTGGAGACGGCTGAAAAATCCCCGTCCCAAGAACAGCAGCAGCAGCAGCAGCAAGACGAAGAAGAGGAGGAGGACAATCACGAATATCCCGCGAAATGGCGACTGGCGCTGATCACCATTGCGCTGTGTCTGTCCGTGTTGTGCATGGCTTTGGTACGCTGGGCGAATCGTATACACTGTCTGGACGATCAACTGACGGGGTTCTAGGATAACACCATCATCGCAACCGCCATCCCGCGAATAACAGACCAGTTCAAATCCGTCGACGATGTCGGCTGGTACGGTGCCGCCTACCTGCTGACCACCTGCTCCGTGCAGCTCATCTTCGGCAAGCTGTATACCTTCTACTCGCTCAAATGGACCTACCTCACCGCGCTGTTCCTCTTCGAGCTGGGCTCCTTCGTCTGCGGTATCACGCCTACCTCTGTCGGTCTGATTCTTGGTCGGGCTATCGCTGGTCTGGGTGCGGCTGGTATCGTGTCCGGTGCGATGCTGATCATCAGCCGCACCGTTCCTCTGCGCCAGCGGCCCACGTACATGGGTCTTATCGGGGGGATGTACGGCATTGCTTCGGTTGCCGGGCCTCTGTAAGTGCTGCTCTCCACCTTTCAGTGACAATATTCTGACCGAACTCAGCATGGGCGGTGCATTCACGGACCACGTCTCGTGGCGGTGGTGTTTCTATATCAACCTCCCTTTTGGAGCGGTGACCGCGCTGTTCATCATCATCTTCTTCAGACCTCCAGGTGAAAAGAAAAAGGAAGAGCTGTCCTTCATCGGGAAGATTCGTCTTTTGGATCTCGAGGGTGCGGTTCTGTTCATTCCGGGTGTGGTCTGCTTGCTGCTGGCCCTGCAGTGGGGAGGGACCACGTACGCGTGGAACAACGGGCGCATCATTGCGCTGTTCGTGCTGTTTGGCGTCTTGATCATCGGATTCGTCGGGGTGCAGATCTGGAAGCAGGAGAGGGCGACGGTGCCGCCGCGCGTGTTCAAGAACCGGAACGTCTGGTCGTGCTCGTTCTTCGCGGCGTGCTTGGGCGCGTCCTTCTTCATCATGGTCTTCTACCTCCCCATCTGGTTCCAAGCGATCAAGGGCGTTTCGGCCGTCAAGTCCGGTATCATGAACCTGCCGATGATTCTCACCCTGGTCTTCATGTCGATGGCTGCCGGCGCGACCGTCACCGTCGTCGGCTACTACACGCCGTTCATGCTCATGGCGTCTGTGCTGATGAGCGTTGGCGCGGGGATGCTGTCGACATTCAAGGTCAACACGGGTCACCCGGAGTGGATCGGGTACCAGGTTCTGTTCGGCGCGGGCATCGGCTTCGGCATGCAGCAGACGATGGTGGCCATCCAGGCGTCACTGCCGGGGTCGGACATCCCCATCGGCACGGCAGTGATGATGTTCTCGCAGACGCTGGGCGGCGCGCTCTTCATCTCCGTGGGGCAGAACGTGTTCACGAACCGGCTGGTCTCCAACATCGCGGCAACGCACATCGCGGGGCTGAACCCAGCCATGGTGGTCAACATGGGCGCGACGGAGATCCAGTCGCTGATCCCGCAGCAGTTCCTGCCCGCCGTGCTGGCGGCATACAACAAGGCCGTGACGCAGACGTTCTACGTCTCGGTCGCCATGGGCTGTCTGTCGCTGCTAGGCGCGGCCTGTGTGCCTTGGAATTCTGTCAAGGGGAAGAAGATTGTTGCTGCGGCGGCATGAACTGTATAGTATGGTACGGAGTATATATGCATTTATGACAGATAGAGTTCATCTCCCTTCAGTATCAGTATAGATAATGTTTATCTCAC